GGGGGGGGGGGGGGGGGGGGGGGGGGGGGGGGGGGGGGGGGGGGGGGGGGGGGGGGGGGGGGGGGGGGGGGGGGGGGGGGGGGGGGGGGGGGGGGGGACTTTCTCACAGCATAAGAGTTTATAAGTTGTCCTGCAAAATGATGGTGAGTTCCCTGCCAACCGTAGTCACCAAGTAGAGCCCACCTGAACGTGTGGCGGCCTAGTGCGCTAAATGTGAGCTTTCGATGTCTTTATTGAACATCTGGCAGGCCTAGTGTGCTAAATGTGAGCTTTTGATGTCCTTACTGGTATTTGTTTTGTGCACAAAAAATACTATTACAGTTTTACATTATTTTAAAAAAATGAATATTAACTTTATTAAAGTTAAAAGAACCCTGGCTTTTCTTTAAGACTTTAAGTTCAGCTTGCAAATATTATTATTTTATCTATAAGCCTAACAAGTTTTAACAATCATTTTTATAGAGGATTTTTATAACTTAGTAAATTAAATTTCCTTAAATATTACAGCTTTCAATGATCTGACGTTAAATTTAATAATTCTTAAATTCTCTTAACTGTTTCAAACTGTTTACAAAGGCATTAAAATTTCCACATAAAACCAAATTTCTTAAGAAATTCAATTATCTGACTTAAATTTAGTGATTCTTCAGTTATCTTAAATATTTCAAGAGTCTACAAAGTCAATAAAATTTTAACATGAAATCACAAATTTAATTATTTAATTAGACATTTTAAAGTTGATATCTCAAGGTTAATCTGTAAGATGCTGATTTTTCTTGAACATAGCAAGTACTTAAAAATAGTAAATATACCCAGAATTTTTAGCAAGTAGTTTGTGACTCTCTTAACATCTGTATTTTATCCTAAATCTCTTGGGAATTAAAGATACTACTTATCCTAAAGAAATAATTATGTACCCCCAAAATTTTGAAGGTTGCCACCCCAAGAGAATTTTGGAAGATCGCTCTCTCAGCTAACCAAGGCTGCTGATTAAATAGAGATTTTGGCTGGGTGTGAGGTCTGGAGTGCACGGCCTTCAGGGAAGTTCTGCCTACCACGCTGATGTCCAGGTTTCTTATGGCCACTATGTCAAGAACTCCAAACGTTAAAGAGGGAGGAGATAATGTATTTCATAACATACTACCTAATTGTAAGTTAGTCTTGGGTCAGTTCATTCTGTCCAGTCCTTTCCTATCCGTGTTATCTCTCAGGACTGAAATTCTTTCAGGTATGAAAGTGACATTTGATGGAATGCTGGGCTTCTTTTGTGCTCTATTTACTTTGTAGACACGGCTTATATATTCATTGTACTAAAAAGTTACCAAAGATATTTTCTGGAATTGAGAGGGAGATGAGACGAGATGATCCTTTGTTTTCTTCCAATTTCATGATTCTGTGTTTTGAGTCAACCAGAGGAGATTATGACCTCTGGGGGCCACAAGAGAGCCAGTGCCAGTGACTGAGGAGGACCCAGCTCAAAGAGATAAGGCATTTTAAGAAATGTGGGATTTGAGATGAGAAGCCCAGCATTGACAGTCATGATGCAGCTGAGATAAGGGTGATTTTGGGTGAGGGTCATCCATCTCTAGATGGAGTGACAGCTCATGGTACAAAAGGTTTCTGGAAGACGTAGTGAGGGGGAGGAGGACATTCAGTTGGGGTTCGGGAAGTGCAGAGGAGGCACATGCTGAGGGGTGTTCGCATGTGTGGGCATGGAGGCTGGCATGGTACCAGAGGCAATTTGCCCGTATATAGGAAAAACCCTGACACTAATCAGAACCCTCGAGTTATTTTAAGGCACTAATTCTCTTTTAAGACCATATCTTAACTTAAGGAATAGTATAGAATGTAGGCCAAGCTTAATGAAAAAAATATCTTCATATTTATCATATCAAAACATTAGAAACAATTAAATTTTCAACAGTTGGGAAGATTTTTTTTATCCCTTGAACTTATTATTATATCAAGATATCATTCAAATGATATCCTAAAAAAATATATTTTAAAAAATTAATGAAATGGGAAAATACAAGGGTACTTCAAAAAGTTAATGGAAAAATAGAATTAAAAGATAATACAAATCTTTCCAAAAACTTATTAAAGTACCATCGTACACATAATATAATGTTAAATTTAAAAAGCAGAATATTAAAACCATATATATAATGTTATCCCATGTATGCTTCTAATTTTTAGAAATATACTTTCCAAATAAAAAAAATAAGCATATATTCCTTTTGTAAAAGCAAAAAAGAAACAAAACCAAAAATCATTTAAAAACTGACAGGCAACATCCCCAATAAAAACAAAAGCAAAAATGTACAAGAGCCAGATGAACACAAAGTAAAAGAAACCAGAGGATTAAGGAACACTGTCAAAACACATGGACGATGGCAGAAAATGGGAAATAGGCTATTGACTCGTCTAAAAGGTCGCAATAAATTATAATAACCAAGAATTATTGAGTGCATATTATGTACTAGGCATTGGCTTAAGCATAATCTAATTTAGTCCTTATAAAACTTATAAGAGAAGCATTATCATCAGCTTTATTTCTCCTGCGAAGTAACTAAAGCACTGAGAAGTCAAGTTCCTCGCCCAGGGTCACACAGGGTGGTAAATGTTCAGGATTCAAGCACAGAATCTTAGCCATTGTATGTCATTTCCTCGTTGCTTATAAATTTGATTCTGAAAGGGAGAAAAACACTGAATGCTGGTTGAAAAGAATGATAGAGTTAAGGTTTTGGGGTTTTTCCCCCCTGAAATATGGTGACATTTGGATATATTTAAAGGCAATAAAAAGGAATCTGCAAAGAGGGAGAAATAAAAGAAGGATGTTAGACAGGAGGTGTTTCTCCAGCATCCAGGATGGCTAGGCTCGGAGCGCAGGGGACTGCTGGCCATCGAGACAGAGGCAGGGCAGCTCCTCTGGGATCGTCCGTGAGGCAGTGTCCTGAGGATCGCCAAAGGCTTTCAGGTGATGAGGCCTGGAAGAGTAACCCTGAGAAGTAAGGCACACTCATGGGAGCCTGGCCCCTGGCTCAGTTGCTGGACCCTGCCCAGCAGCGCTCTGTGGTCTGGAAGCAGGCGCCAGGAGAGAGGGGCGGTGGGGTGCTGGAGGAGAAGCTGCAGAACCTGGGGAGTCACCCCAAATGACCGATGCTGGATGGATGCCCTGAGGAGGCAGGGAAAGCAGGGTGGGGGGGGGGCAGTGGGAGTTCGGGGCAGGTGATTTGGGGGTGCAGGTGGAGTTGGGGCAGTGTGTCACGGGAAAAGACAAGCAGCAGGGAGGTGACGGTTAGAGAGCCAGCAGAGATTTGGAGGTCTGAGAGCTGCAGTCCCGCTTGGTGTTGAAAACTTGGTGGTAGTTTTACCTGAAGGGGACCAGTGAGGTCAGGATTTCTCAATGGACATCGAAATGGATGCTGTGGACTCTGAGGGTGATAGCCGAGGGCGGGCTGGATAAAGGGAAGACACCCTGACCCAGGACTCACACAGATTGTGTGAATGATTCCTGCAAAGTGGGGAGAGGGGTACGGGAGTGAGAGGGCTGGGAGCAGAGGGCAGGCCAGGAGAGGTGGCAGTTCGGACAGTGGCAGGATCCTTAGTTGTCAAGATGTGGAGATGAGGAGGAAAGAGCTTGGGGGGTTGGAGGGAGCACATGGGAACAGAGAAAGGTGACCCTTCCTCCCTCTTCCCCATTAGAATGGGTAGTGGCAGAGATGAGCTAAGATTTACTGCACGTCTTTCGTGTGTCAAGCACCAGATGCTCGATAAATATTCACCCTAGTTTTAACCTTAAGGTGAACTCTAAACCCATTTTATAGAGGAAACTGAGACATGGAGAAGTTGGGTAATTTGCTCAAGTCCACACAGTTTGTACGTGGTGGAGCAAGGATTCAACGCTGACTCTTTAGCATTCCAGCCCACGGTGTGCCTTGTAGTAAAGCTTGGTGAAGACCCCTCCGCAGGAGGGACAGGACAGGAAGCTGCACCTGAGTGATGGAGGAAGTGGGCTGAGATTCTTGAATGTGGCTTCTGCTCCAGGCCCACAACAGAGTCTCACTGAGGAGGGAGGGGGACACAAGGTGAGAGTGACACTGCTCGGTTGCATGGGCTCACGGGTGAAGACATGGAAAGGAAGGACAAGTAGAGAAGGGGCCAGGGCTCTGCAAGATGCCATCAGGCCACACCAGTCAGTGCCAACCTGATGTCTGAATCTCAGGAGAGGCCAGTGTGTCTCATGGAGCCAACGCAGCATCACGCAGTTGGCCAGTTTGCCATGGGGCTAGTGGAGAAAGCACTGGGTGATCTAATTCTCAACTTTGCTTCCTTTTCTCCTCTGGACAACTTGTGGAGGACTGAGGGGCCCCTCAAGCACATGCCTGACCGCAGAGGGAGAGCAGGGGCTGGGGAGAGGATGCAGTCCCAGGGCATGGCAACACTGTGACTCTGTGTCTCCTCCTACGCAGGGAGGAGCTGTCGTAAACAGGAGCACCCGACGGTGTCTGGAGATGAGGAACACCTCAGGTGCTTTCGTGCTTGTGCTCCAGACCTGCACCACACAGGTGTGGGAAATACAGTACACCGTCAGCGACTGGGGGTCATACTAATACGCGGTGATCCTCAGAGAGCCTGGATCTGGGACACCAGTTCCCACAACCAGAATGGCTTCTACTCCCAGCGCTGCTCAAAGTGGGAGAGAGGGAGAGAAAGAGTGTGTGTGTTTATTGTGACTTCAGTGGGTTTACTGCGATACCTGGCACGTGGGGGTGAGGCCTGCACGTGTGACAGGGCACCTAGTGGGGAAGGAGAGGAGACGCGGATGCTCATCCCCAGCTCCCTTGGGAGGTCATGATATATATCAAATGCCATTCTTGGAAGCTCCTTGAAATAACCAGCATCATCTGCCTGTTGTCTGGGGAGAGAACGAGGAGGATGGAAGCTCCTCTTTGACTTCTGCCCACGCTGTTTAGCCATCTTCCCGACAGCTGCTATCACCATCTGCCCCACACCTCCTCCCCCGGCTCGTCTGCTCGGAGACTCCCCAGACTGCCTGGGGCTGCTCCACGCGACAGGCTGGGTCATCCTCAGTCTGGCAGCGAGACAGCTATTCAGGTGGCATCAGTTCTCCCTCCTTTCTGGGCCATCCTGAAACATGCAGCAAATAGACAAGGAACCTTAAAAAATCCCTCCATCCACCTCCCCCACCCAGCAGTTTTATTCGGATTACTAATCTCTCCCACACCAAAGCGTCCCAGAGACTGACGGGAGGAGAGAGGGCACCTCATCTAAGCACAGCTCTTCAAGGGACTGTGCAATCCCTCCATCCACCTCCCCCACCCAGCAGTTTTATTCGGATTACTAATCTCTCCCACACCAGAGCGTCCCAGAGACTGACGGGAGGAGAGAGGGCACCTCATCTAACCACAGCTCTTCAAGGGACTGTGCTTAGAGAACAGCAGAAAAACGAGGTCCAGCTGAGTCCTTCTCTAAGTGGGTCATCACATATAATGACTTGATGACCTATTTCCTCCTGCCACCCTTGCAAATGATGGAGAAAATGAGGCTTGAAACAGGGGAATCACTTGCTGGGGCTCAAAGAAAGGACTGCAGGCAAAAACCTAAAACCAGGCTCTTTATGTCTGTCCACTGGGTAAATCCATTCCTCTAGTCGGTGAGTTGGGAAGATATGTCTCAGGCAGCAATTTTGGCAAGGTCTCGGAGTCTGGAGGGAGTGGGAGCCACGGGGGGAGGGGGGCGGGACGGCCCTGTGGGTGCTGGGTGGGCTCCCCGTCAGGTACGCGCTTTTCCCGGGGCCCCTCCTTCAGAGGCTCACTTCCTCCTCGCAGTCCCAGGTCAGCACCACCTGGGAATGATTCTGGAATCATTAGTTTTTCTCCAGGTATCAGGCAGGGAAGACACATAATTCAGCACAGAACTAAAGCAACTAAGACTTTTTAAGATGAGTGTTTAAAAGTGTACAAGTCGTAAGTGTACAGCCTCATAAAAATTTCACGGTGAACCCATCCATATCAAGAAGTAAGACCTCACCACAGATGAGACTTTATTATGAAAAATATGATGAATGGGATAAATATTAAGCAAATGTGTGACTTCTAGCTTCTGCCGGCACATTGAAGGGAAATGCCATTCATAGCAAAGTTTTAAAAAGGCATGTACCCATAGAAAAGGGACCAAAGATACAGTATCCTTAAACATATCAAAAGATGTTTACCTCACTCATACTTAGAGAAATACAAATGAAAACTGCACGGAGACAACTTTTCACTTAAATTGGCGGAAATTAAAAAGTATGACAGTATGTTCTGTCGGCAGGGCTGAGGGAAACAGGCAGTGTCACACGTTGATGTAGGGACACAAACTGGTACAATCCTCTTGGAAGGATACTTGGCAATGTCTAAAAATACTGTACGTACATTTTCTATCTATGCCAGTAATTCCACCTCTAGTGATTTATCTCCCAAACCGAGAAAATACTTATGCATGAAGTAATTCTATGCAGTATTCATTGTAGCTGGAATAATGTTTGAAACAAACTCTATGCCCAAACACCAGAGAGAGATTAAATACATTCACACAATGCAGTATCATACAGCTATATAAAAGAAACAAGGAACATCTCATTGAACTGATACGGAGCGATTTCCAGTACATTTTGTTAAGTGAAAAAAGGAAAATAGCACCTATATTATGTGTCTTTTAGGGAAAAAGTAAGGGGAAGATATACCTGTGTCTGTTCGTTTCTGCAAAATGAAACATAAAGATAAACCAGAAACTAATGAGATTAGTTACAATGGGTAGTGGTAGCAGGCAAGATTGTACGAAAATTGGGGATAGAAGTAGGATAGAAGGGAAGGGGGGGCAGTGATAATTTTCTAAATATAAGTTTTTTTGCTAGTTTTGACTTTTACAACCATGTTATATTTCATATGTTCAAAATAGAAGCACATAAAATCAAAGATAGAGAGAAACCCAAAATGAAATATAAACAAAAACAAGTGAACCTAACTGTATTTCTGTATTTTAAATGAACGCACATACACACTCTGCATACCTAGCATCCGGCAGCTACATCTTGGTTTCTAAATAACTTCCAGCAAAAGGAATTTAGGCTACTTGGAGAAGCAGCTAATTTTAGGGGTGGTCCTGGGACATATTCCTATGTTAGAAAGTAAGGAATTGCTCCAAGAGTAAAGGAGGCATGTCACAAACCACAGCAGCCATGTTGAAGGGGCTTCCACTGGCCAAATCTGGGACAATTTTTGCATTAAAATCAGTGACTACAAGGCCGGCCCGTGGCTCACTCGGTAGAGTGCGGTGCTGATAACACCAAGGCCAAGGGTTCGGATCCTATATAGGGATGGCCGGTTAGCTCACTGGCTGAGCGTGGTGTTGACAACACCAAGCCAAGGGTTAAGATCCCCTTACCGGTCATCTTTTTGAAAAAAAAAAAAAATCAGTGACTACAATAGATTATAAACCACAGAACACAGTAAAAATCCGTGAGTTCTTTCAAATGAATGAATGAATAAATGACTAAAGGAATGAGAAGCAAAATATCGTCCTTACAGTAGAATGCCAGCTAGTAAATGTAGAAGGGACAATGGAATTAGAAAATCACCATTTGGCAATCACCAGAGTTGCAGTTGTATTGGGCAAGAATGATCAATGGATGCTAAAACTATTGGGTGGTGAGAAACAGGATACATACATAGCATGAAAGTAATTCCCCAGAAGATATTTATTACCTAAAAAGGTTAAAATAGTGATTTCGTGGTGGAGAAACCTGGTAGACACCATCTTGACCAAGTGATCAACATTCACACCCCCAGTGGCTGGAGAAATGGCTATCGTGTGCCTCCTCACATGACGCACCGAGGAGAACACAACATTTCTATGCTATTCCTGCCAAAAATGCAGAACCTGAAGCTGTAATCTTGAGGAAACATCAATTACTGAGGGTCATTCTTCCATAGAGATGGTCCGTGTGCTTCAAAAATGTCAAAGACATGAAAGACAAAGAAAGATTGAGGAACTGTCCTGGACTGAAGGAGCCTGAAAAGACACGACAACTCAGTGTAATGTGTGATCCTGGACTGGGTTCTGGACCTCAGGGTTTTATTTTTCCTCTTTGGTTTTAAAGGACTGCAGTAGATCATTGGTGAAATTTAAATAAGGTTTGCTGATTAGTTAAGAGTCTTCTATGAATGTTATTTTCCTGATTTTGATCATTGTACTCTGGTTATGTAAGAGAATGTCCTTGATTTTATGAATAGTCACTGAACGGATTGGGGAAGGAGCATTATCTCTGAGATTTTGCATAGACACACGAGAGAGACAGAGCAAGGAATGACGAACAAGTGTGCTGAAGGGGATCTGGATGCATGGTAAAGAGAGTACGAGAATGCTTTGTACTATGCTTGCAACTTTTTTTTAAAGTTTGAAATTGTTTGAAAATAAAAAAGATTTAAAACAAAATCAAACTGGGCTGGCTGGTTAGCTCACTCGGTTAGAGGGTGTTGCTAATAATACCAAGGTCAAGGGTTCGGATCCCTGTACTGGCCAACCACCAAAAAAAAAAAAAAAAAAAAAAAGAAGAGAAAACAAACAAACAAACAAACAAAAAGTTCCCATCTAGGTAGACATTAGACATCTCTTCCTGCTAAACTGCAACTCTAAGCAACGGCAACTTAATCTAACGGTGGTGTTCTTTATTCTTTAGGAGGAACCCGTGTTTCTCTCACACTTAAGTCAGGATGACAGGAGGCTCCTTAGGCTGCCCCTGGTTCCCAGAGTTGTAAAGCTCCTCCAGCAGCTCCGATCTGCAGGCAGTCTGTTAGTTACGGCAAAGGCGGTGCTGATCTGCTTCCTTGGCACTAAAACTTATCCGTTACTTGTCTAAAGTTCTACCTGGAATGCTGCTTCTCTGGTCACTGTCTACTTCTGCCTTCCTTGGTCAGGACACATGAAGGTTGTCTCTGTGACTGACTTTAGTTCAGTCAGGAAACTGTTCCCTTGGCAACCAAGTTAATTATTCACTGGCTCCTGTCTTTCTGATTTTTGGGAATGTTGGAGCTCTACTGTAAGTTAAAGTTACCTTGAAACAGCAGTAAATATGACAGGTATTAACTAGTTGATGACCTTGGAGTACAAAGGGTCACCAAAACTCCTACAGAGAAGTAATTCTGTGTTTGCCCCCAGGAGATTTCTGGAACTGTGGTCCTGCCAGTCCTTCCCCCGGGCTCAGACAGTGACAATCTCTGGGTGTCTTGCCATGTCCATTTTTCTTCCCATCTTAGATTACCTCTGGGTTTCCTGATGGCTGTCCCTGCTTTAGCCCTCATGGTGCCGTGGGGAGAAGCCATGCCCATAGCAGTCTCAAGGGAGCACACTTCACTGTTACAAAATGCTTCTGTCTTGTTGACACTAAAGCAGCAGGCTTGTTTCTTCTTTTCGTTCGACCTGCCCAAAACTAAAGCTACAGAACAGCTCTGCTTGGCCACTACTCCCCCCTCAACCTCAAACAGAAACCCCAGCGATGCAGCCTGGACCTGTCCCTCTCTTTATTATGGCCGCTGTTTCCCCGGGA